TTCCAGGAAGTCAGCCGCTGGTCAGTTTCAGCAGCGGCTGAATCGGGGACACCTGGGGTTCAATATGTACCAGTTCCGACTTGCATACAAATTCAACTTAAGAACAAACCTACAGTCCCTATCTTGTACGTAACCCGGGGACTGCCTGTACATATCTCATCCCAGAATATTTTGTCATGTATTGCATCCAGTATCAGCTCCTGCTACCACCTGGCTAACAATCCAGCTCCAGCAGTAATGGCTGATTCCACCAGAATGCAGGCATCTTCTGCAGCATTCCTGGCCCAGGTCGCTTTTGAAGACATAGGGCAGCAACATGGTTGTCTGGTCATACCTTCACATCACACTGTGCCATCGCCCAACAGGCAAGGAATGACATGGCTTTTGGCAGGGCAGTTTTGCTCGATGAGCTTCAATCCCTTTTCCATAGAAACTGCTTGGGAGTCACCACTCGGAACAGATGTGATCAAGCAGTTGGAGAACAAAAACACCAATTTACCTACCTCTTATAACTTGTACATCCAGATGTGTTACTCGTGTCCATTCCAAATTCCACCTACCTCCCCTTTGTCAGAGTAGTTTGGAAGAAGATACTGAATGGGCAGCAAGTAGACAGGAACCTATAAATCTCATGAAGGTGTCACTTCAGGGGGCTCCATAGTCAGCCCTATGCGTACTGCACCTAAGAAGATACTGAATGGGCAGCAAGTAGGCAGGAACCTATATATCTCATGAAGGTGTCACTCCAGGGGGCTCCATAGTCAGCCCTGTGCGTACTGCACCCACCTATTGGAGTGGATATGAGCAACAGATCTCAAAGAACTGTAGGAGAGGTAGGTAGGCCTACAGGTTTTTCTCCTGGAGCTGCTCTAAGAATTAGAGCCATGCATGCTGGGACATGATACGGACACCTTCCTCCTAGCACAGACCCTGACGTGCGACATATGCCAGGGTCTGCAAGGGGATCCTTGGAGTTTAGCTTTATGGCTCCGTGCAGTTGTTGCTCTGGAGGAATGGTCCAGTAGCTGGAAGCAGGGATTTACAGAACATTTATTCTGCTTTCTTCCTCCTTCCCATGGTGAAAGAACCAAAGCAGAGCATATGCATTTCATTTTTATGCTTCCATCCTACACATTCTTATGCAAATGAGTATAATCCCATAAACTTTACTGAGAGAAGTCTGGGGAGGGGGAGAGAACAATGCAGAAACCAGACTGCATAGGATCCAAGATGCTGGACAAGCCAGGGAAGATAAAATTAAATCCTTTTTTTAAAAAATGTACTGTATGTAATAGTGTGGTAGCCACATTAGTTCCAGGATATTAGCGAAACAAGGTGGGTGGTAAAATCTCACCCACCTCATCTCACTTTTTTAACACTTATTTTAGTGAGTTTGTACTGTAAGTTTAGGGTTGGAAAGAATTTTCAGTCAGAATGGTTTCTATGGTTTTATAATTTGTTAGCATTAATTTCTGTGGACACTTAGTCTGACACATCCTAGTCCTTATCATCCATTCTTTTTCATGAAATTTGTGGAGCTATGTACATTGACTTCAGACTACTTCGGGCCCTTTTTAACAAATCGAGTAGTGATATTATGTAATTTATTATGAATATACCTAAGGGGAACACTAGAAAATTGGTGGCTTTTTCATAAAGCGAACTGCCTGAATGCATCATCTGTATACATATATTTAGAATTATCTACAGAGTGACACCTAACATAGGATTCCATATTAAACATTTATATGAAAAAAGCAAAAATCATTTTCAAAACGTCTCATTTTTTTTAGATTGTTATGGATCAAAAGGAAAAGGAAAGTGATCACCTAATCATCAAGCGACGACTGCGGACAAAAACGGCAAAATAGAATGGTTATGTAGAAGCATGTTTACATAAGTTTAAATCAAGGTATATTTCTATTGTATTATTTTCAACTGATTGTATATAGTGAAGTGCAGCACCTTTATTATACTCCCATTGCCTCTGTATAGTTCTGTCTTGTTTAAAATCTTAAGTATTGTATGAAATCTTGACTCCATTAAACCTGAAATATTGTTCAAGAAAGTGTATATTTGTAAATTATTTTTAAAGGGGTTCAGGAATACCACTTTTAGGTGAACAAAAGAACAGACACTGGTTCAGACTAGTGGTTCATCTGTCACAAAGGTGGGGATTCCAGCCCCCTGCTTAGTTTGATCCAGCCCACAACAAAAAGGCCCAATCCCACAATGACTCCCAGATTTCTCTCTTGCCCCCTGGGATGGTTCCCATATGGTACAGTATAAGGGACACTGCCAGCTCCTCCCACCCTCAGTTTCTTCTTACCACCAATACACATAACGTTCCTTTGCTCTAGCAAAGTTTTTTACATTTGGCTGTTCATACGAATTTTAGCTTTACTTCTCTTAGTGTCTAGTTTAAAGTTAAGTGTCCCCAAAAGGGACTTTTCCTTAGGACAGAGCATGCCCCACTCCTCAGGGTTTAAGAACTGCAACCTGTGCAAAAAGCCTATGCTGATCAGTGATCCTCATACCAGCTCCCTTTGCTGTTTAGGTGAGGCCCGTATTAATAGCAAGTGTCTTATTTGTAAAAGCTTTAAGCTGCGCACCAAAAAAGGGCAGGACATTAAGCTTAAAGCCTTTCTAATGGAGGCCTCTCACCTTCTGGGCATCAAGAATTTGCTGGCAGATCGACTGAGCAGATCTTTCTTCTCTCCCCACGAGTGGTATCTTCATCCCAAAGTGACTCGGTTACCTTGTTTACCAGGCCAGACAAGAAGTGTCTTCACTTCTGCTCCCGACAGGGACACAATCTCCAATGTATTCCTCCTGTCATGGTCTGAGGAGTGCCTGTATATGTTCCCTCCGATCCCATTGATCAGCAGGATCCTGTTGAAGATTAAGGAAGACAAGTCTTGAGTCATTCTGATTGCCCTAGAGTGACTACGCCAGCAATGATTCAACATGCTGCCAGATCTTGTGGTAGCCCATCCATGGTGGCTGCCCAATTCCCTGCACCTCCTGTTCAGGACCGTGGCTGCCTCCTGCACCCCAGCTTCACCTCCCTCCACATCACAGGGTGGAGGCTGTATGGCTAAATCCTGAATTGCAGACTTGCTTCAGGGAAGTACAGTAAGTTCTTTTGGATTTAACTATTTTGAGTAGTTTTGTATCCTACAGAATTTACCTTCTCACTATTTACCCCTTTTTCCACATCATTTATGAATATGTTGAGCAGTACTGGTCCCTCTACAGTGTGAATTGTATTCTGCCACGTGGTTTGTGGAAATATAATTAGTACAACTGAATGTATTAGGAACAAAAGTGAACAAAAAGATCCTGTATGCTTAAATAATTTTAAAAGGTTTGTAAACATTATGCCTAGAATTTAGTCAGATGAAGAAAAGTGGAAAAACAGGTCCTGCTCATCTTCACCTTTTGCATGATGTTACTTTATTAGCTTTGTTTAATCTTAAGAATACTAGATGATGAGTGGGCCTGATAGAGGTTGGACAGCTCTGATTTGGCATCCTCGGGACCTGATCAGTCCCTGTCATGAGCAGGGGGAGTGCTGACTAGCACCCAGTGACTAAGGGGTTAACTCAGGTACCTAGCAAAGGTGTCGGCCGGGAGAAGGTTGACATTTGAATTGAATATAGGTTCCCTCGCTGCTTTCTTTGTGTGGGAGAGTTAAACCAGGAGTTGAGAGACAGACAGAATGATTTAAACCCAGGCAGGACTACCATGCTCCCCATCTCCATAGAATTCAGGGCAGGACAACAGACTGAACAAAGAGAAAATTAAAAGTGGGTACCAGAAAAATGTGAGTCCAGAAGCGTTCAGAGTAATTTTTCTTTATTTCGTGGTTTGGTTTAAACAGCTCTGTGTGAATCTATGCCTCCCTTCCCCATTTACTACCATCTAAGCATTGTGCTGAGACTTTTCTGGGTTTTTTTATTTTCCTTGGTTGCGCAGTAACATTGAGCAACCGAGTATGCTTTATCAAGTGTATCTTTTTTATTTTGTAATAAAAATCACTTCTTTTAAGGTGTTGATTTGATTCTTGTGTCCTGGAAGGTCTGTCTGTGTGTGTATCTGCATGTTCAGATACCAGAGACTGCAGCTTGTTTTTCTCTTTTCTTTTTCTAAGCTCTCTTGGGCAAAAGAGCTTAGGGACCTCTGGGGGTGATTTCAAGTGTTCACCCCGGTTTTTTTAGGGATCAAAAAGCACTTGATGGTGGCAGCAAATTCCCCAAAATCTGTGTATTAGGATTCTGGGGGGAAATTTTTGTAACCAGTGCCTTTAGAGGCAAAGTTTTGAAGCTCTCTTATGGTCCCCCCCCCACCCCCCACCTCCTGCATTCAGAGTGCCAGAGTGGGGAGCAGCCTTGACAGTCCTGAACAAGGGAATTTGCTGGATTAGAGATGGTTCCGGGCCACAGCCCCCTGCCACTGAGTCTGCCAGCCAGTGGGCGGGAAGAGGCGGAAGGACTCCCTCTCCCCTTTGCCAGGCTACCTGCTGGGTCACTGACCCTGCTGCTGCTGTCTGCAAGCCCAAGCGGCCCGCACTGCCATAGGCTCCAGACCCATGCTACCACAGGCTGTCAGGGGCTGGTTCTGGCCCTGGTTGGGCTGCCAAGGGCTCAGGCTCCAGTGCCAGCCTGAAGTCTCTGGCCCCACTTCCGCAGGCTGTCTGGGGCTTTACCATGAGCTGGTGGGGCTTTCTCCAGCCCTGGACCCAGGTCCTCTGCCATAGGCTGCTGAGAGCCTGGGCTTCTGCTCCATGGCATCCCACAGGCTCTGGTCTCACTTCCACAGGCTGTCTGGGGCTTCAGCCCCATTGTGCTGGGGGCTGTCCCCAGCCCCGGCCGTGGTCCCGCTTCCACGGGCTGCCTGGGGCTCTGGCCGCAACCCTACATTGCCACAGGCTGTTGCAGGCCCGATCCTATGCTGCCGGGTACTGCCCCGACCCGGTCCCAACGTCGCAGGCTGTCTGGTGTCTGCCACCAGCTCCTGGCCCGTCCTGCTGCTTCATCCTGGCCCCTTCTAGATTACCTTTCTGCCACTAGGCTACCAGAGTTCTCTGATCAAGGAACAGCTGTGGTCCTGTCAGACCACGGATGTTGCCGGACCAGAGAATTCCAGTTTTGGGAGGTGCAACTTTAAGGATTTGTCTCTTGAGTCATTGGCAATCAACTTTATCAATCCAGGAGAGAAATGCAGCATCTGGCGTTCAGCAATAACTTGCTTCTGACCAAAGCTTTCCACTTAAGATGACACTAGATAGGCATTTATATGATGTTCTTCACTGTAATATCTGAGTACTTCTCAAACACCAACAAATTAAGCCTCACAACACCTTGTGAACTAAACAAGTATTATTGTCCATAATTTTACTGACTGCAAATATGATCCTTCCAAGGGAGTCAGTGGCTGACTTTTGTGCCTAGAGCCTGGCCATCCTTGTGCATTATTTGCTCTATCTTCTAGTCCTCACAGCTTCCTTCATGACTTTTTTCCCCTAGAGTTTAGCCAAACGACATTTGTGTATCCTTAGGTTTTGCTATCTTGGTTATGCTTTGTGCTAGGATTTCAAGATGACTGAGACTCACTATCTGGCCATGGTGATATACAGGCATTAGTAACTCTGTGAACTTGTTAACGCAGCTGTATTCCATTGCTATCAGTTTCAGTTAATCTTGGGTGATGTTAATAGAATTTTGTTCAGAAAATTAAATGTTACTTTTAATGAAAGCCACATTTTTCCACTGATTACTCCCTTTCTTATTGTTGTTCAATATATTTGAAGAGATGGTTTAAGAACATCTCTGGAATGGAATGGCAACAGTTGTATAATGTAAATGTACAGAGCTGTGCAAATGCTTCTTTCCTATATACTTGCTATACTAAAGGATTTATAGCATTCTCAACCTTATTAACTGTAGCTGGGAAGTCAGTGTGAGTGGGCTTTGAGTGTTGAGCTTGTCTTAAAAATTTTAGTACCTAAGTGATTTAGACTCTCAAATTCCATGGATTTTAAATGAGACTAGTGAGGATCTTCAGTCACTTAGGCACTTTTAAAAGTTTTATTTTTTGTGCCAAGATAGCACTCAGTATGATACAAATGAGTGTAGCATATGCCCGGCTCCACATGCCGTACCATTCACTAATTCACAGCCAACACTTTACTCATTCTGGGGGTTTCCCCCCCTGCATTATTAGCCAGAATTAGAGGCATTCTCAGACTTGGATGATAACCTTTTCTCTGAATTCTAAATCTAACTAGAGGAATCTCTTGGCTATGTTGTGCCCATCCCAGACCAATCTCCTCCTCCACCACCCATCAGCACTAAGCTAGTATTTGGGGAGGGAGAGGGTATTGCAAACTGGCTAGCAGCTATTATGTATCCTAATTGTTTCCATGGTTACTTGTTATACTCATCTTACAATCATGTTTATGGAGGCGTTTCAAAGAAAATGGCCAAGTAAAATTGAAACCCAAACTTGAAAGTCCCCTGGGAAACATTGGAGAT